TCATTAGTAATTTACGATGTAGTGGGATTTTGTCCGGAGAATCATATCAGCGGGGGTGGAATTGCACTCGCTTTACCGCACCGTTGTGACGAATAGAGAGCTGAGCCAGAAGGCAAAGCTCTCGATCTGCCGGTCAATCTTCGTTCCTACCCACACTTATGGTCATGAAGGATGGGTCATGACCGAAAGAACTAGGTCACGGGTACAAGCGGCCGAAATGGGTTTCCTCAGGAGAGTGGCTGGCGTCTCTCTTACAGATAGGGTGAGAAGCTCAGCCATTCGTGAGGAGCTCGGAGTAGAGCCGCTGCTCCTTTGCGTCGAAAGGAGCCAGTTGAGGTGGTTTGGGCATCTGGTGAGGATGCCCCCTGGGCGCCTCCCTAGGGAGGTGTTTCAGGCACGGCCAGCTGGGAAGAGGCCCCGGGGGAAGACCCAGGACTAGGTGGAGAGATTATATCTCTGCACTGGCCTGGGAACGCCTTGGGATCCCCCAGCCAGAGCTGGTAGGTGTGATCTGGAATAGGGAAGCTTGGGGTCCCCTGCTGGAGCTGTTGCCCCCGCGACCCGACGCCGGATAAGCGGTTTGAGATGGATGGACGGATGGAATCCTAACATTTTTTGGATGACTTGAAGGTTTTTAGAACTTTGAATATATGAAATCATAAACATCAAACATGTTCACAAAAAAACGTGAAATACCAAAATTATTACAAACCAAGACAACAATTCCATATTAACTGCATTTTTAAGACTTTTGTAGTGTATTTGGAGGCATCGGCTGGGGAACCAGTGCAAACAGCTGTCACACTGGATCTAAAAAAAGAGAAAAAATGAAGCACCTTTATTTAATGATGGTTGAGTAATCAACACACAATATTATAAATGAAAACAGTTGAATAAAGACCAGACAATGACCACAGTAAAATAATTAATTACCCAGTTTGTGAGCGCATCCCCCGGACCGGGTGTTTTTTTGGCTGGTTTGGTTTGATTCTGGGTCAGACGCTGATATACAAACACACATTTTAGATCTTAAATATTACAAAATCAAAATATAACAAAAAGGGCTTATACTTTGAAGAAATCTCCAAAACTGTGCAGTAAAATGATTTCAAATTCAGCATGGTAGTAGTCAGAGAGGTCCTTAACACAGGTACATTGGTCTTGGCCTGGAACTATTGGGAAATCTGTTTTTATTGCAGCTCAAATATGGAGAAATGGTGAGAAATCCAAATATTACTTTTCTTGTACACCAGTAGTCCTGTACACACATAGTTTGATCATTGTCTGCAATTTGCGATTTAAATAGCCTTTTTTCGGGTTACTTGTTAAATACCGTAAAGGTCAGCATATACGTGCACTAAAATTGAAGCGTCGGCTATGTTGACCGCAGTATTTTGAGGACCATAATGATTCAAATAGGAAGTAAATAGGAATTGAGAACTTGGGAAATGGGAATGACCAAGCGGATACTTCTTGTCTGATGCGGAACTATTTGGTATTGGATATTTTTTTCGATTTACAAATTAAGAAATATGTATTGTGAAATATGTAGCTGGCAGTGTTGAGAAATAAGTTCTTCAGGAGGTAGTGAGGTGGCTCTTAAAAGAGCCGTTGTTGTGAGGCTTCTTCACGCCGGGGGGGTAAGAGGCCGGGGCGCTCTTACGGGCGGCCTTGGTGGCCAGCTGCTTCCTGGGGGCTTTTGCCTCTGGTGGACTTACGGGCGGTCTGCTTGGTTCGAGGCCATGACCGACTCGTCTCGCTCTGGTTAAGAGAAGTAGTGATGTGTCGTTCGTGAACGACTCGTTCATTTTGAACGAATCCTCACAAGGACTCGAAAGTAACGAGTCCTCTCAAAACAAGATTTGTTCATTTTCTCGTGGCCACGCATCGGGACTTGCATAGGCTCAGCCAAGGAAACAGAAATGAGTCGTTGAATGCAGGTCACGTGAAAAATTATCCTTCTGCCAACCAAGTGGTACCAATGCTGAGCCCATGCAGGTCACGTGAAAAATGAACGATGAACAAATCATTGACCCGAAGGCTCGGTTGGCAGATGAACGAAACATTGACCCGAAGACACGGTCGGGAGGTGAACGATTCGTTCATCTGCCGGATACAGATCTTTAGATCATTTTTCTCGTGACCTGCATAGGCTCAGCACTGATCCACGCTAGCATCGGGCTAACGTCCCCGTCCATCCAAGCTAGCATCAGGCTAATGATCCCATCCATCCACGCTAGCATCAGGCTAACGTCCCCGTCCATCCACGCTAGCATCAAGCGATCACTTACATACAACACATAATAACAACCTCGCTACCAGACTGTGGACTTCACCGCTTTATAACAAAGCTTTTTTGCAACGTAAATGGATCAGTACCGCCGCTGCCCATTTTCAACACAGGGGACCGGCTATGCCCCGGAGAGGTCAGCGTTGTGTGGATGGGACGGGGCTATATCCTGGCCATCACACTACATAATGGGCGTTTCGTGTTGACAACGACCCATCCCGGAAAGTCCACTGAGTGCACGAACCCAAAGGTTCCGACATGCGAGCACCGCATGGAGGCCGGCTTTGGACCGGGGGGCAGCGGTGATTTTATCCCAGTTTGCATGTTTATTGGCGGACCTTTTATTGCAAGGTTCTGGCCGTCACTGGTAACCAGAGCGAGCTCATCGTCAGTGAGATCAACGTGACCCGGGTCCGGCGGTACGAGCGGAGTACTTCACGTGACCTGCATAGGCTCAGCAGCACTGGTAGCGATGAGCAGTCAGCATTCTTTCTCTGCGCCAGCAGGTTGCCATCGCCGTCGTTCTTTTCAAACGAAAATACCATCCAACCGTATTGGTTTAAAGACCATTTTTGGAGCTCAATTCCATCGTATATCTTCTTTTTTTCTTCTTTGGACGACCATCCAGCTTTTACACTGACGTTCTTTTTGTAAAAGGTGAGCTGTCTCTATGAGCGGTGTACTACCAACGTGAATTATCACGTTCGGTTCTAACAGACCTCGTTTGTGTTATGATGTATAGATTTACCGGTTTTACCTTTAGGAAAACCTCTATTGTTATGAACGATGAACAAATCATTGATCTACTTGGCGAGTTGATCAATGATTCGTCTTCGATTCGGATCTTAGGATCATTTTTCACGTGACCTGCAGTCAGAAGAGGAAACAGAAAGGATTTGTTTACCTCGTTCACTTTCTTGAGGTTTAGTAAGACTAAATAAGTAATAATTAATAATTACAGATTTCGTTATTTTAACTTTTTTGTACTTTACTTAGAGTTCAGCGTAATAGTTATGCCGTGATAATTGAATGCTAGTGTGAAAATAAATGATCACGTCAAATCATCCAGACTGTCATGATACATCATTTTAATGCAGGAATTTATCTTACAACCCCCCCCCCAAAAAAAAAATAAACGAATGAATCGAAGAAAGATTCGTTCATTTTACTGAACGAGATTCAAAGAACCGAGTCGGTAAAATGATCCGAGCGGTGACGCTGATTCAGACCTCCGGCCCCTGATTGGTGGAGGACTCCTCCTGGCGCTCAGCCGCGCCCCCACAAGCGAGTCTCCGCTGCTCATTGGTGGAAAATGATTTCAAACTGTCCGCCAAATATCAGAGGTCCCGCCCTCTGCTCTCGCGCCTGGAGCCTCTTCTCTGGTTGGTGCGCGCGTCAGGAACCGTCCCGCCCGCTCCGGGGACATATAAAGGAGGGTTTGACGCATTCGCAGACACTTCCTTCCCTGAAACAGTCTAACAATGAGCGGCAGAGGCAAAACCGGTGGAAAGGCCCGAGCGAAGGCAAAGACCCGCTCCTCTCGTGCTGGACTCCAGTTCCCAGTCGGTCGCGTCCACAGACATCTGCGCAAAGGGAACTATGCGCAGCGTGTCGGCGCAGGAGCCCCCGTCTACCTGGCGGCCGTGCTGGAGTACCTGACCGCTGAGATCCTGGAGCTGGCTGGAAACGCCGCCCGCGACAACAAGAAGACCCGCATCATCCCGCGTCACCTGCAGCTGGCTGTCCGCAACGACGAGGAGCTCAACAAGCTGCTGGGCGGAGTGACCATCGCTCAGGGCGGCGTGCTGCCCAACATCCAGGCGGTGCTGCTGCCCAAGAAGACCGAGAAGCCAGCCAAGAAGTAAAGCCGGAGACCTCCATCTACCACAAAGGCTCTTTTAAGAGCCACCCACCCACACGAAAAGAGCTGTGATCCTATGGTACAATATCCCCTAATGTTGTCAATGATAAGACAATTTCTATTCACTTTTTTTCTTCTATTTTCAATCAATAATTTTAATAACCACCACATGCATTTCTCAACATGAATATCTCCATACATTTCAGATGTCGATTAAAAAATCAACCATCAAATACAATGAATATACACATAAAATATGCGCCTCTATATATAAACAAAAACATAAAAAAAATACTTTTCTGGTTGAGCTATTCTTTCCCCAGGCTGTCATATTTATGAATGCTGCCGTCTGTCATGAGTTTGATCCTTTCTGTACACACACGTCTGTGCGGGCTCTTCCAGTTTTGCAGGTCAGTAAATCACTCTACATGTCTGTTTCCAATGTAGATACCAAATACTAAAATGAATACTAGCAGGACATATTCTGTACAAATTTGACATGTATTGTGCAATATGTACGTTTTTAAACGTGCACGGTGTTATCTTGTGTTTGGACTTTTTCGATCAGTATTCGCTTTTGACTCTGCTCTCAGGCACAGTAGCCATATTTACGCATGCTCAGTTCAATACCAGAAGATAACCAATCCAGTGCTAGAGCCAGGACAGTGCTATTTGCATGAGAAGATAACCAATCCAGTGCTAGAGCCAGCACAGTGCTATTTGCATGAGAAGACAGCCAATCCAGTGCTAGAGCCAGCACAGTGCTATTTGCATGAGAAGACAGCCAATCCAGTGCTAGAGCCAGCACAGTGATATTTGCATCAGATGAGTATAAGAATACCGCCCTTCGCCATCGTTCAGATTGACAGCCGAAAAGCAAGACCAAGAATCATGCCTGATCCGCCCACCGTCAAAGCGCCCAAGAAGGGCTCCAAGAAAGCCGTCTCCAAGGCCGTCACCAAGAGCGGCAAGAAAAGGAGAAAGTCCAGGAAGGAGAGCTACGCCATCTACGTGTACAAGGTGATGAAGCAGGTCCACCCCGACACCGGCATCTCCTCCAAGGCCATGGGCATCATGAACTCGTTCGTGAGCGACATCTTTGAGCGCATCGCCGGTGAGGCCTCTCGCCTGGCTCACTACAACAAGCGCTCCACCATCACCTCCAGGGAGATCCAGACCGCTGTGCGCCTGCTGCTGCCCGGCGAGCTGGCAAAGCACGCCGTGTCTGAGGGAACCAAGGCCGTGACCAAGTACACCAGCTCCAAGTAAACCTGAAGTAGACCACCAACCCAAAGGCTCTTTTAAGAGCCACCCACCTCTTCTAAAGACTGTTTCCTCCAGTGTTTAATTGAATACAACTGTCACTGCAGTTATAATGGTTCTAGATCTTTGAATCATAAAAACTTGGGATATTCATCCTCGGTTTCATCGATGCTTAAGGTGAGGTTTCCATTTATATATAGAGGAAAAATGCGTATATTGTCCAAATTATTTCTAGAGAATCTAGAAAGGTATGGAATGCCGTTTTAGTCAAAATAAAAAAATTAAATAAATGAATAAATACGTAAATGCATGAAATATGCATTTGAAATACATCATGAAATAAATGAGGCAATAAATACATACATAAATAAATTAGGTAAATACATAAAAATTAAATACATTTAATTATTTCATGGTACTTTTATTTATGAATACATTATGAAATAAAAGACTCTGGAAATGAAAAGTGGCATTATGAAATATAAGTACCATGAAATGATTAAATGTATTTAATTTGTATGTATTTATTACCTAATTTATTTATTTCATGATGTATTTCAAATGCATATTTCATGTATTTACGTATTTATTCATTTATTTAATTTTGACTAAAACGGCATTCCATACAAAGGCTCTTTTAAGAGGCACCCACTTCTAAAGAATAAAAAATATAGACAAAAAGTGGCGCTCCGAGAGGGTTAGACTGGATTTACAGTCCGTGCACATGCGACATCCTGTCCCAAAACCCTCACATTGGGAGAGGAAAAATCCCCATCGGATAATCTCAGGAGGGATTCATCTCCCGGGATGGACTACAATTGATGTCATTTGTACAGAATGAACGATGTAGAAGACGTTCAATTGCTATAACCGAAATGATTCAAATAATTGCGATTAGTGAGCAAGGTGTATGGCAGGACCGCTGCAGGGACAACAACAGTCAGAACCACCATCCACAGAAGCCTGTGGGGAGGGAAAGCACAAAGACTTTAGGAGAGTGTAATGTTGGTTTATGATGACGGTAATATTAATATCCATAATGGCAGCTGCAGGTGTCAGCAGGGCCACGGTAGGAGGCCAGATATAACCATGACCCATGGAAACCTGTGTTGCGAGAAAGCCCAAATACTCCATTGAAGAAACAAATAAATGTTACAATAATGTTTACAGCAAAAGAAATGGGGATATTAATAGTGTTAGAGGCGGTTGGTGTCAACAGGGCCACGCAGGAGTCAGGACCAGAGTCCAGACAGAACTACGATTTACGGAGACCTGCAAGAAAGCACAAAAAAAAATATCCGGGAAAGAAGCAGAATTAGTGACTAACTATAAGGAAAATCAAAGAGGAAAGTTTTATGCTTTATCCTAAATGAGCTGACCGAATCTGCCCCCCGGACTGAAAGTCTGTGTTAAAAAACAAAAGAAAATCCCCTAAATGATAATTTTCTAACTTGAAATTTTTTGGCTTTTCCTAGATTGGCCCCAAATGTAGAAAAAGTGAAATGTTTATTTTATTCACATTTCCATGTAAGCTGTACAAAAAAAGGTACAAAGGTGGTCTTCGGGTCAAAATGACCCATGAGTCAAATAAAGTTGAAATCAAAGTCACACAGTTATTTGCAGAATGTTACAATGTTTTCAATCAGCAGCAGAAGTAACCAAGACAAATCGGGTGGTCTTCTCGCGGACTGCTGTGCCTTTAAACAGTCTCAGATAATTTAATAGTAAATCTGAACAAGACAGTAGCAGACGTGAACAACACATGATCTCTTTGCTCTTTTTCTGTGGATTTCCAGAGGTTATAAAAGCGCTGCAGGTGACAGGACCCCGAATTCTCTTTGCTGAAGCCATGAGTGCGCGTTAGAATGTTGAAGAGGCTCTAGAGCTGATTTTTGTCCAGCAAGACAACTCTGATTCAGAAGAGGAAGATGTATCAGAAGAAGAAGATGGGGAGGAATACAATCCAGAGCATGATGAATCATCTTCAGAAGCAGAAGAAGAAACCCCTGAAGCTGAAAGAGAGACTTTCCTTTCAAAAATTTGCAAAATAACATGGTCCTCAGCAGCATATGACCAACACGGCAGCATGCCGAACAAAACGTCTATACAGATAAAGTGAAGAAGGAAAACTCAGGTAGCACATTTTGCGATGAATGACAAGTTGTTTTTTCAAGCAAGAAAAAAATTTGGTGTTTAAAATTCAATTAAGCTACTTATATGGGGGGTTTAGTGAAGACGGGTCATTTTGACCCGGAGGATACAGGAAATGAGGACAACAGGAGGGTTAAGAGATTTACAAGAGCAGCCCCACAACAAAGAATTACAGTAATCCAGTCTAAAAGTAACAAACGCATGAACTCATTTTTCTGCATCACTTTGAGACAGGCTGCTGGACACCAGAGACTTTCCATCCATAAAAACTGTATCACGTGACAGCCGGCTTGGAAGGCGCTCTTGGCCTATCAAGATAACTTCTGTTCAGTTTGATGTTTCTAAGACATTATTGAAGTCTAACAAGCTGGTCGGTCTGCATAACAATGGAAGTTTATGCAGTGTTTTTTGATAACATCGCCCAAAGGAAGCATATACAGGGTCCAGGCCCAGAACCTTGTGGAACCGTGACCAACATTGGTGGTCATCGTGGATTCACCGTTTACGAGCACAAACTGGGATCGATCCAATAAATAGGATTTAAAACAGCTGAGAGCAGTAATATCAATCTATCAATTCTAGTCTCTGCAACGGGACGGAATGATCAATGGTGTCAAATGCTGAGGTCCAGCAAGGCAAGAAAAGAGATGAGTTGGACTTGGAAAACCGTGCTTAAAACTCATATAGTCAATAACAGGTACCAGTATGAGCTTTTGTTGTGCCCATCCCCAGATTTGCATAGTTTGCGATTTTAACTTTGTGCAATTTCATAAGTGTTAAACATAAAACATGTTAAATCGGTTTAAAATCTCTATGAATTAGTCAAACCGTTTGATTGTTATGCATAGAAATACTTTTTTTTATGAATGTTAGTAATGGCAATGATGGTTAGGTTTGCTAATAGGATTCATCAGCACAACAGAAATAACGTATGTGTTATAGTAACAGTGCTATGGGAGCATAAAAGTGTAATTGAGGATTACACATTGATGTATAAAATAACAGAAGACATGTCCACAGTGAGCAGCTCTCATTGGAGGTCTGATTAAACTGCACCATAAGCCACCACCGTCTTCAGTGTGTTTACTGTTCGCAGTATAACTCTAGTTTATTAAAAACTGATCAACATCTGATGGTTATTTTTACATTGCAATCCTGAATAAACATGTGGAGCAGTTGGAAAACGACTTTTGATGGTGATGTGATGCAATTTAAATACTTTAAAGAGAGAATTGAGTGGGAAAAGCCGCTGATCACTGCTGTCCACGGCGCTGAGTAGGTGAGGTTTGGAGGCTCCTCAAACAAAACGCATCGATCATCAGAGCTCTACGTGACCTGAACACGAAGAGAAACTAGTCCGCTATCGGCTCCTCCACCTTCAGCCTCCAGCACCTGATGCACATTTAGTTTTTAGTCTTTAATCAGTGGAGAGAAAACACAAGTGACTCGACTTTCAGACTGCACGAGGAGCTCCGGGCTGGGTTGAGTCTCTACGGTTCTCATGGTGCGTTTAAGTTCAGTCCGCTGCTTTGAGCTCTTCATCAGTCTCACTCTCTCGAGTCCTCGACGACACAAACGCACAACAACGTGACAACATGGCAGAAGTAGCTCCAGCTCCAGCCGCCGCCGCGCCCAAAGCAGCCAAGAAGAAGGCGTCCAAGCCGAAGAAGGTCGGTCCCAGCGTCTCTGACCTCATCGTGAAAACTGTGGCCGCATCCAAGGAGCGGAGCGGCGTGTCTGCTGCCGCCGTCAAGAAGGCTCTGACCGCCGGAGGATACGATGTGGACAAGAACAAGGCCCGCGTCAAGACCGCCATCAAGAGCCTGGTGGCCAAGGGGACTCTGGTCCAGGTCAAGGGGATCGGGGCCTCCGGCTCCTTCAAGATGAGCAAGACCACCGCCGACAAACCGGCAAAGAAAGCCGCTCCTAAAGCCAAGAAGCCCGCGGCGAAGAAACCCGCAGCGGCCAAAAAGCCCAAAGCAGCGGCAGTGAAGAAAGTTGTAGCCGCTAAGAAGTCACCGAAGAAGGCCAAGAAACCCGCAGCGGCCAAGAAGGTGGCCAAGAGCCCCAAGAAGGTAGCAAAGAGCCCCAAAAAGGTGGCCAAGAGCCCCAAGAAGGTGGTGAAAAAGGCCCCTGCAGCCAAGAAAACTCCAGTGAAGAAGGTCGCTAAGCCCAAAGCCAAGAAAGCAGCACCCAAGAAGAAGTAAACTGATATCAGTCTGAAGAACCAACACCTCTATAAAAGGCTCTTTTAAGAGCCACCCAACCCTTCCTCAAAGAGCTTTTCCTTCATTATTCAGCTGTTGAGACTATAGGTGTGATTTCCAGAATTTAAATGAATCATACAATGGCTAGGAAATTCACTCACATAATGCAAAAGTATCAATTACATTTCCTCAAACAAGCCAATTTACAATTTGCTATAGATGAGTGACGTTACAAGTACAATTACAAATACAAATACAAGTGCTACAATTTTTAGTCTTAGTCTTTAGTCGAGGTACAGTCTGAAGAAAGTAAATGTTCAGCACTGTATTGAAGTACATGTTCAGCACTATATAATGGAGAGAACTAAATTAGCAGACACATGGGCTACTTGAACAGCAAAGAAAAGTGGAGAAAGAGTACCCATCATGTAAAATTACATCTAGACATTGCATAGATTGCAATTGATTAAAATTTTTCCAGATGGTTACAGTTGTCATAGAACGTATACTAAATTTTGATAATCAACAGGAAATCAACTCTTCGGAGAGGGAGTGCGTGGCCCTTAAAAGGACCGTTTGTGTGTTGGTAACAGAAGTCTGTGTTTATCCTCCGAAGCCGTACAGGGTGCGTCCCTGTCTCTTCAGGGCATAGACCACATCCATGGCGGTCACAGTCTTCCTCTTGGCGTGCTCGGTGTAGGTGACGGCGTCGCGGATCACGTTCTCCAGGAAGACCTTCAGCACACCGCGGGTCTCCTCGTAGATCAGACCGGAGATGCGCTTCACTCCGCCGCGGCGAGCCAGACGGCGGATGGCGGGCTTGGTGATTCCCTGGATGTTATCACGGAGGACTTTACGGTGACGCTTGGCGCCTCCTTTGCCGAGTCCTTTTCCTCCCTTTCCTCTTCCGCTCATGTTGTCAGATAAGTTTGAAACAAGATGAGCGAGTAGGGTCAGTTCACAGATATTTAAACCCAGTCGGAGGACGTGATAGGAGACACGGGCGCTGCTTGAAGTTGGTTCCCTCGCGCCCCCTGCTGAACTACACCACTATTCAATGAATGTCTCCTGCTCGTTGTTGGACTTTCGAAATGTCCTTTGAATTCAGCCTTTGATGAATCTATGGAGGGATTTCTAAAGACAGACCCCTTTGTAATATTTAGCAAAAAGTTAAATCCTTAATTTCTGAGTGAGGCTACTGCTGGTCCATGTTTTAGATCACTGCATTTACTCAGCATATGGATCAGCTGAGACTACAATGTTAAACAGCATCTGAGACCTTTATTTCTAGCAGAAATCAAATTAAAGATGCCTCTTTGCATGAATTTAAAACATTTTTTAATGTTACCTTTAATTACCTGAGTAACCGATATCAGTTCATACTCCCAATATTTAAATATTGTAGAAAGAGAACAAGCTGGGTGTACAAACGTGCTCTATCGATCGGCCAACATAAAAAATGATCTTTCCTCATTTTTTCTGAAGTGAGTGAAGGTCCTTAGCAGAGGAGTCCTCAGGTGTGTGCCTCAGGGTTGCTCCTGTTGCATCTCCCGCCAACTCTTCCACACCAGAAGATCTCAACCCTTCCCCAAAGCAACCACGCAACGAGGCAACTTCAGCCTGTTGAACTGACCCACGCCGTCGCCACGGCCCATCGCCAGCAACATGGTGACGTTACCTAGCAACCGGCGACACCATCAGCGAGAGGCAACAACCAGACACTCAACTACAACAGACGTGTGTGAGTTTACCTGCACGGTACGAGGTCAGCGTGCCGTTATCGGCCAGACAGCTGGCTGCCAGCGGGGACAGATCACCAATCAACCGATCAAAGGCACAGATTATCGAGGACTTCACGTCCTCAGAGGAGAACGTGCTGTCTGAGTATGATGACCTCGCTGTCAAACGGGGCTGATCGGTTGGAATTGATGCGTATGTTGAAAGTTAACTTGCCCGCGATATTTTGCCACACTTCTTGTCTTGGCGGTGTCAGATAATGCCAAGAGTATAATCAATTTCATTATCTGTAGCCCAAAATGGCAAATTTTCCTCAGAGGCCTTTACAGTCTGTACACTCGTGACATCCCGTCTCAAAACCCTCACAGAAACATGGAAAACTTTTGATAGGAAGAAAAAAAAAAAAAAAGGGGAAAATAAACTTATGGAGAACGGCAGAGGATGCCAGGATGGACAGACTGTAAAATACGTTAAATTCCTCCAACAGAAATGATTCAAATATATGTATCATGGTATGAAATTCTTCATATGTCCAAGTAATATCAATATCATTCACACACACCGTACGGTCCTTATGACAGCAGTGAAAGAATGGTTGGGATTATGCCTGTTAGCTGGGGCACTTTGACGCTGAGGACATACATTATAAACATCTACATGATTAAAGACTGATTATTCAGAAAACTCTGGATTGACAACGTTTCTAAAAATCATGAGTTTATGTAGGTGGTCGCGTTAAGGAATAAGTTCTTTACAGAGAGTGAGGTGGCTCTTAAAAGAGCCGTTGTTGAGAATCAGGGGGTTTAAGCTCGTTCCCCGCGGATGCGACGGGCCAGCTGGATGTCTTTGGGCATGATGGTGACCCTCTTGGCGTGGATGGCGCACAGGTTGGTGTCCTCGAACAGGCCCACAAGGTAAGCCTCGCTGGACTCCTGCAGAGCCATACAAGTCCTGAGCGATCTCTCTCACCAGACGCTGGAAGGGCAGCTTGCAGATCAGCAGCTCCGGGGACATATAAAGGAGGGTTTGACGCGTTCACAGACACTTCCTTCCCTGAAACAGTCTAACAATGAGCGGCAGAGGCAAAACCGGTGGAAAGGCCCGAGCGAAGGCAAAGACCCGCTCCTCTCGTGCTGTATAAAATACTTAATTGGTGATTAACCAATTTGGGATCAACTGACAAGATAACTGTTTGATCAGTATTTGGTTATAGACTAAATTATTGATGGATGTAGCTGCTGCAGTGTTTTTAACCCTGGCTCAGTGCCTACAATCCATCTTCCTGTTGTCCTTTTTTGATGTTTTGCTATTTCAGTAAATTCCAGTGTGATCAATGTAAAAATACAGTGGGTATTTGTCAATTCTTTCCAACTGATTCCAGTCTATCAAATGTCCTATTAGCCAAATTAACCCGATGGTTGATTTCGGGCCACCTTGATTCCTCACAAACTAATCCGCGCTCAAATGTTAATTTGAAAGACTAGATGTCAGTCATCAGGATAATTGTGCTCATCCTACTTCTAAAGTCACATCACAAAGTGAGACTAGCCATAAGAATACAAACCGTACGTGTTTCACTTCTGTGGCTCAGTGTGCCGAATGCCTACAAGTCCCGTTAAGGTGCCCTTTAATATTTATTTTTGACTAATAGACATGTATTTGTCTATTCTGGATGGAAAAAGGTGTGTGTCATGTCCTTGTGTTGAAGTGTCTGTATATGTAATTATCAAAAGGGTGCCATGTGATTGTGAATGGTTTGTGTGACCTTCATTAGATGATTTCAGTGCACACAATGATTCTTACAACATGATTCTCAATGTGAAACTCTTGTCTTTTGAAACAATAAATATAATCTCGTGTTAAGAGCACTAAAGTGATTTGGTCTCAATAGAGAAATCTGCTTAGAGGCGGGTTGTGTTACGCATGCGCAGTATCACACAGAAGGCAACCAATCACGCTCGAGCAACAGCACAGTGTACTTTGCATCTAGTTCATATATGAGCACCGTGCTGTTGAAATTGCGACATTCTCAGTTTACAGTGAAGTCTCGAATCATGCCTGAGGTTGTGAAAGCGCCCAAGAAGGGCTCCAAGAAAGCCGTCTCCAAGGCCGTCAGCAAGAGCGGCAAGAAGAAGAGGAAGACCAGGAAGGAGAGCTACGCCATCTACGTGTACAAGGTGATGAAGCAGGTGCACCCCGACACCGGCATCTCCTCCAAGGCCATGGGCATCATGAACTCGTTCGTGAGCGACATCTTTGAGCGCATCGCCGGTGAGGCCTCTCGCCTGGCTCACTACAACAAGCGCTCCACCATCACCTCCAGGGAGATCCAGACCGCTGTGCGCCTGCTGCTGCCCGGCGAGCTGGCCAAGCACGCTGTGTCTGAGGGAACCAAGGCCGTGACCAAGTACACCAGCTCCAAGTAAACCTGAAGTAGACCACCAACACAAAGGCTCTTTTTAGAGCCACCCACTTCTTCTAAAGACCATTTCCTTATGCTTGTATTTCAAATCTTTCTTAAAGGCTATTAAGACATTCATTTTTTTGTGATAAATAAATTGTGCATATATGTGGTGGACTCAAATCCAACATCTGACGTTTTTATATTAACCAGTATATACTACCAAGATCAACAGTCAAATTGTTTTTGCAGCATTCATTCATTCATTCAAATACTGATCGATGGTAATCTAGGTTTAGATAAGACTAATTTGTGGGCCGTGACTTAATAGTCAAAAGATGTGAATAGATGGTAGATTCAAAGTTATTTTTGCTTTTTTCATTTTTTTTTTTTCATGTGAAACCTTGTTTCCTCCACACAATTGAGGGAATTTGAAACTATTTGTGCCTTATCTGCTCCATGTTGATATAGCTACACACTTTGTCTACACTTTCCTGATGAGTTCATTTTTAAAATGGAACAGTATTTGCTTAAATTATTTATAATGGTCATAATTACATCATTATGTTTAATTGAAATGTACAAGGTCATGGTTATCAATTTAAAGATGAAACCGCCTTGTTGCCTGATATGCATCCATGGTTTGTTTGCTAACAGGACGACCAAAAAAACACCATAATAGTCACTATTGTGTATTGAGGAAAAATGTGTATATCGTCCAACTTGTTATTTCTAGGGCAGCTGCTCCCAAACTCAAGAATGCCGCAGCCCAATCTGAAATCTGAAAATCTTTGGCGGCCCACCCAAACCTTTAATCACAACTCGGATCAAAACAATGATTAGAGAAGAAAATTAAAGGCTTTTAAGTGCGCCTTGGAGTGCGGAAAATGCTGTATATTTACTTTAATACCACAAGAGGGCGCCGCATTGTTGAACAACGACAGGCGGACAAGAGCAGCCGTTTCGAGCGAGAGCCTTAATGTTTTATTAATCTGTCCGTTTAAATTGTTTGTGCTTCATCAACTAATGTTTCACATAACTAATGTGCCGCATCATAAATATGTATTTATTTAATTTATATAATTTCAAACATTGAAAATTTAAAAACTTTTATTTATTGTAAATGACCTCTCGCGGCCCACCAGGGGGCCACCCCCCACACTTTGGGAATCGCTGTTCTAGGGAATCTATAAATCTAGGTGAATCTGTTTAATTTAACGGGGGCTCAGAAAGGGCAGGAAGGCAAGGTTGAATATAAATGGAAACACTTCTTTGACCGGATTGCAAAAGTTGGGGCAAGATAATGTAGAGACACCAGCAGTGGGTCAAAGGTCTCGTGTGTGTCTGTAGACACTAGGAGACATCAACCAGAATGAGCCAGTTAGTCTAGCAGCAACATGCCAGAAAGAGGGAGAATAGTGGGACAACATCAGGATAATCACAATGAGGGTGCTTTAAATAGAGAGTCTGTCAGATAAGTAAACGTGTTGGAGAAAGAATAGAACACAGATTAAACTGAAGTGCGTTAATCCACAACAGTTAACAGTGTATCTTTGATTAGAGGTAAACATAAAAACTATTGTGTTAATAATTTAAGAGAAGGAAAAGCTCTTTAAGGAGGGATTGGGTGGCTCTTAAAAGAGCCTTTTAGTGTTTGTCACATCAGTTTACTTCTTCTTGGGTGCTGCTTTCTTGGCTTTGGGCTTAGCGACCTTCTTCACTGGAGTTTTCTTGGCTGCAGGGGCCTTTTTCACCACCTTCTTAGGGCTCTTGGCCACCTTTTTAGGGCTCTTGGCCACCTTCTTGGGG